TCTCCCTTTTCCAATTATAGTTCTGTAGGAGTTTTTACATTTAAGAACAAGCAAACAAACCAGCGTGGTGTGGTACAGAGCTGCAGATGAGAAATAGAACATACATAAAATCAAAGAAGTAAAAGAGAAGACATCATGGCTGAAAAACAAGTAATAAGGAGGTCCTGCTAGAAAAGAGAAGTTAGTGCCTAAAAATTAAGAGGAGGAACTGCTAAGATACTGTACTGTACAGTTATGCAAAGGTCCATTCAAGGAACTTGTATGTTGAAAACCAGAAATTTAGATTTCAAAATTCCAATCAAAATGGCCAAAATTAAAAAAGACTGACAACACCAAGATTTGGCAAGTTGGTGGAGCAACCAAAATTTCATACATTGTTGGTACAAGTGTAAAATGTACAACTTGGAAAAAAGTCTGGTGGTGTCTTATAAAAGTAAATGTACACCTATCCTATTACTCAGTAATTCCACCCGAGAGAAATAAAAATGTATGTTGATAAAAAGATTTGTACGAAAATATTTCTACCAGCTTTATCCATAATAGCCAAAAACTGGAAACAATCCAAATGTCCATCAACAGAGCAATGGATGAATAAACTGTAGTGCAGTCATTCAATTTATACAATGAAATACTATTCAGCAATAAAAAGGATGATATACTAATTTATGCTCTACAAATATGACTCACAATGCAAAAGACACGGAAGGATGGTCAGATGAAGGGAGAAAGTAGTAAGTAGGCTCTTACAATAGTCGATGTCACAGACAGTATTAACATTTAAAAAGTACAAAATGAGTTCACAAAGAGAAGTCAGAGAATAGTAGAAAGCTTCTTCCTATCAGGAATAAGGAGTTTCAAGGAGAAAGGAAGTTCCCAGTGTCAATGTAACAGAAATCAAGCAAGATGAACACAGAAAAATACCTCTTAGATTAAGCAATGGGCAACACCGATGATGTAAAAGTGGTGTGGTAAGAATATAAACCAGATAAAGAATACTGATAAATTCAAAGGAAACAAACAAGTGAGGATCAAAGAAATAGAGGTGAGCCAAGAAAGCAAAAACTAGAGAGCAATATAAGAGACTGAAGTATTTCTTTAACATGGAAAACAAAAGTAACGACTACACCTAAAACTCCCCATCCACTATCTCATCAAGAACATGTACTATTGAGTAAGGTTGTCTGCCATAGGCCTGACTGTCCCTGCCTATTTTTGCTGAGTGTGAAAGTCTGCAAAACTTATCTACTTCCTGATACTGAGTGGATTCTTGTAATAAGTCACCTAGGCAACAAAGAAGGTCAAGTTTACCACAGCACATAACTATACTCCAAGAGAGAGTATGTTTGTTGCTCGCTCAAATGTTTGCTGCTTGCTTAAAAAGTGCTGGAGCCTTGGTCCTGAGTTACTCCACTGTGACCCACTACGTGCATCCATCCAGACTCATCACCTTGATGGGACCTGGGTATAAGGAAAACCTACACAAAAATGCTGACGTTCATGCAGCTTGCTGTGCTATGAGTAATAATGCTAGTTGTTTCTGATCTGGAAGTCTCCTGTTTTCTGCTAGCAACAATTAAACATTAACAAAACTAACTTATTAGTCTATAAATATGGTAAAATCACATCTTAAGACTTTGCACAGTACTTGAAATGAGCAACAAAGAACTACTTGATATTCATGTTGCTGTGTAAAAAAAGACACAAAAGTGGTCACAAACAAAAACTGAAATATATATAACACTTTATATACCTTATGTTACTCATATTATTTATCATGTAATGGCCTCTGTATTATATCTTTTACATATATTACAATATATACATCTCGTACTAATCCTTATGAGGTAGGTACTAATATGATGAAACTGAGGCTTCATATATTAAGTAAACTAAATAAGCTAAGCGCTCACAAGCTGTAAACAGCATAACCTAAATACAAGCCCAGATACCTTTAAAACGTGGTTTTTTTTTAACCATCAATAGTCAATCTTCTTCAGCTGATTTATCAAGGACAACTCTAATTCTTCAGATATAAGACCAAAGTACCTAGACCCCTGCAGTATGAAAACTTCATTATGTTCACAGAAAAATTAACATTTTGGAAGTGATAATCTTAAAATTTTCTTCAAAATTCCGTGATCAAAATTTAGGAAGAGCTAGGTCAAACAATCCAAAGGATTGTCTCTACTGCAGAATTCTCATGGTTTTAAAATGCAAATATGTTTTAACAAGCTAATATAGGTCATAAATCTTCTAAGACCATCTATTATCATCTTTCTGGAAAAGAGTTTGGGAAACTACTGCTACAATCAACAGTGCCAACCTGACTTGTATACAGAATTATCTTTGAAACCTCAGTAGTCAGCTTGGTTCAGGTACATAATCCTTTAAAAGAGAGAACATCAAAGTTAGAATGTGCCTAACAGCTTCAAGCCAAAGCAACTACTACATAGTTTGGCAACATTGCTCATTTTCTACCAAACGAGACTTAATTCCCCATAACACAAGGAAACTATAGGGCATACCTAGCTTTGGCTGAAATTAGAAGGGTAATAATTAAGGTTTTTATAGCTCTACATTGTTTTCTACTGCTTTACTTAACAAAATTCAGATCCACATTAACAAGAGAAAGAAGAAAAGACCACAGAAAAACCAGTTTCCACATAAAACCTGTGCACAGGTTAATGATACTGAGTCATTCTGATGGTCCTGGGCATCACCACCAGCTTTCCAATACAGAAAGCTAAATTTTAACTCTATCAATCAGTGATAAATTAACATCACATACTATCTCACCCCAAAGTGCCTGTCTCCTACTTAGTCATCTCTAAACACTCAACTACTGAAACTGTTTACTGCTGCTCAATGATCTACTAATTATTCCAGAGTTTTCAAAAAAACTGAGCTAAAGACAGCAACACAGCAGTTGTGTTCATCACATAAACAAACCAGAGCTGCAGATCTGTCCTTGACAAAAAGTCTACTAGGCACCAATTCAGTTGCTTCTTTGGAATAACTAGATATAGTTATTCATCAGGCCATTCTCAATAAAACCAAGAGTTATACTAGACAAATGAAATAATCATATAATTACACAGCAACAGGAATCAACATCCAAATTTAAACTATGCTTAGATTCCCAAACACTTTGCCTTACAAAGAAAACAAATCAATATCATACCTACTTAAAGTGAACAGTAACTTTAAAAATACAAATTTTTGCCCTCTGCTCTGAAGGAATGCTTCCACCCAATCAAAGTCTATGTCTAAGTCTATGTAGGACACATCTCCAATGGGGGGGGGTGCAATAAAATATGATATTGTCCACTTATTGTTGTAGAGAAAAGGAAAAAAGTATCCTAAAACATTGGTGTTAGTAATTTTTTTGTGTGATAATTAAGTCAAGTCCTAACTGAAAGCAAATATGACAATATAACAAATTATTTTAAGGCACAACTATATCAGTTAAAAATGTTAAGTAGTGACTTGTGTATGAGAACATGGTTGATTCTAATAAGCAAAATCCCCAAAGAGAAAGACTTCAAATCAGCTAATGCCTTTAAGGGAAAAAACAGGAACAAGAAAGAAAAGAGATTAGAAAAAAGACAATGGAAATAGTATTCAATATCAACCTACTGAATTTTACTTTAGCTAACATCTGCAAAAATAAGAATACCTTTAAAAACAAAAAATAAACTATCAGAAGTGTATACACTGACAATTGGAAAATGCCTTCCATACTGGCAGCAATTTTTTCCAAAGCATTCTGAAAATACAAATTTTCACAAAATTCAACACAGATCATTCGAAGATTTACAAGATGTATAGCACATGAAATGAAAGCATCATGAGCTTTTATCTCAGAAAAACGCAAAATCACATATGTTGGGATTTCATCTTTCAGTAGCCTTCATATTTGTCAAAATGCAATTATTAAAAGAAATTCTTAGTTCACAACTAAGGCTCACATGTGCAAATACATACTTGAGTGAAATCTGCTCTGTATTTGTAAAATTTCATAAACAGTACTATTAATTGCACCATCAATGATACATATTAACGTTTTCCTCCTCTTCCTCAGTAAAAAGGTTTAACTTAATTGCCATCTGAAAGTTTATATTGTTAACAGGCTACCTACTAACAACAATAGAATCAACTACTGCTGAGTCCATTTGTAAGAGGGCTTACAATAGAAACCTCCAATTCCAGGACCATAATTAACGCTAGAGGAAAAACTACGTTTGAAAAATTGACACTGAAAACAGAGAGGGACACTTTTCACACATTTTAACATACAAAGGCTTATGTGGTTGAATGGAAAACCCTGTATGTAGTGAAAAATAATTTTTCAAACAAGATTTCCATTTTTTCCTAGTAAAACTTCTGTTTCCTCTCCTACCCCCCACCAAGTCGGAATAGGAAAAAACAGTCACTTTTAATACTAACAAAATGAAGGAGGACAAAATGACAAGGTTAACTAGAGCTGAGACACGAGATCAGCACCATTATTCTCTATAGTTACACAATTTTTTCAACCCACATTTCTCACCGAATCCACATCCCACCCTACATCGCGCTTACACCTCCCTCCCCTCTACCCGCTCCATTTATGACGGCGATCATCTCCCTAGCAGATATGTGAACTCAAAACCATGTCCAGAAGACAATCCACTGGAAATACCTCAGATGTGACTGGGCCAGGGAATAAGGAAATGATCGAGAAAGTGAGAAGTAAAACAAATATAAGTTGAAGAAAGCGGGGGACGGAGCGTGTCCTACAGCAAGGTATACTGCGCGGGAGAGGGGTGGGGAGATAGGAGCAGCCTTGGGTCGAGGGGTCTCGAAGGAGTCAGAGGCAAGCTCCAAAAGGAGAGGTGTAAAGAAAAAAAGAAAATTAAGTTAGTTTTTAGCCCGAATAAGGGGACTCCCTGGTCGTCCACGGGAACAGTCCCCGGGTCCAGCGCCGGGCAGGAGGCCGGGGCGGGGGCGCAGGAACTCACCACCTGGTAGCGGCCAGTTCCTGGCTGGTGATGATCCATCCTGCCCGGCTCGGGATCCGGCGTCCGAGCGGACGAGTCCTCTCGGTGCTCGACCCCCTCGTCCACCCCAGTCGCCGACGTCGTTGCCGCAGCTCCCCTTCCGCCTCTGTTTCTGCCGCCGCGGTTGCCCGGCCGGGCCGCTTCACTTCCTGTCGCTCCCGCAGCAGCCGCGGAAACCTCCGCGTCCGCCACCGCGAGGTGAAGCCCCACAACGCCGCGCGCTACTGAGCATGCTCGGAATGGTTGCGCATGCTCATTGGGTCCTCAGGCGTCCCATTCGCGTCGCGAGAGGCGGGGGGTTGGGCTGGGTGGGAGGAGATGGAAAAGTAAGACAAGTCCGGGGAACTGTTTAGGTTTTCGAGAGTGGGCGGTGGTAAAGCGAACGGAAAAAATATATATATATCACGGGCCTTAATGCGTCTTTTCTATTGGACGGTTTCGCGCACGCACCGGCGGGCACAGTCACACCACGCAGAGACCAGAGTTGAGGAGAAAGGGAACGCGTACCCAGAACACCTGAGGACAGGTCACCCATTTACCCAAAGTCTTCTAATCCCCCACCCAGCATAGGACAATACAGGGAGATCCGTCTCTAGGGCGTTTCTATAACGCGCATTCAAAATCACTAGTGAGGTAAGGGATACCTCACTAATGGTAACCCCCTCTTGGTTACAGTATGAGTTTTAAGAATCTAACAGAGACTCTTCAATCATAGCTTTAATATCTCCCGTAGGAAGGTGGCCTCTAGAGAGCCCTAGGTTACTAGAAGGATACCAAAAAAATACTAAGATAGGGCTGTTTTGTCATCATACTCCAATAATTTCTAAGGATCTAACAGTAAGGAATCACTTTGTATGCAACATTGTAAGACCATCTCATTGTCTGGTTAACCATACATGACCTACTATGTGTGAATATTTCCCAAAGGCCACAAAGCGTATTTCCCTAGGAAGTAGAAGAGTATGATAGGATAAAGTATCTTTTAACCCAAAGACCAGCTTTCTATGCCCTGAAAACTATGATCCCACATAATCTGGCCCAGCTATCTCTTTTTACTTTACTTCATGGAATGAAAAAGGCCCCTGAATGAGCCTGATCAGCTAGTTAAAGTAGCAAAAATACAATAAAGACAGAAACTCATTGAGAGATCATCACCAAAAAAATTTAAGCCTTCTTGACAATTTTATTCAAAGCATTGACCAGTTCTTCCTATTTTACCATCCTGGCACATTAGTGGTAGAGAGCATGAATAGGCTAACAACAAAAAGAGGCAATAATATCATACTTAAATGTCTTTAAACTTGTTTTCTTTTGATCTAAGTTCATATTTTTCATATCTGAAGACGATGAAATAGGACATTTTATTATATTATTGTACAAGAGGTCACCCTCACAATTTCACCCAAATGATATCATCTTTCATGGTCAAAACAGCAGACAGTGTCAGCAAAATGAAATTAGATTCCTGCATCACTTATGGCCTATACGGTTCCTTTAGAACTTAATTTTATATGTGCTTGTGTTTTCATTAATCATTTATATGTCTATTTGTTGTTTCTGAAATACACTACTACTCAGGGCAGAGGCTATTTCTTTATGCCTAACACACCCAGAATAGTACTGAGAACTGAGAACATAATGGTGAAAGCTAAACACCTGACACAAAAGTCAACATCCTGAATCCTGTCAGGGTAGCAGATTCTTTCAGTTTTACCCTCCTCCCAAGTTCTGTGAACATTTTGCTAATCTAGAGAGCAAAAGACAGAAATCAACAGAAAAGCACTTTTTCAGTGAAAAAGAGTAAGAGGAAGAGGGAAAAGAAGTAGAATAACTAATGGATATTGAACCCTTCCCAAGCCAGGGGCTGCATGTGTTATATCATTTTATCCTCACAACATCTCCATGATGTAAGCACGATTATAATTCCTGTTTAACAAATCAGGTAAGTAAGACATCAAGAGGTTCAGGAAGTTGTCAAAAGCCAAATCACTATCAAGTGGTCACAGACTCCAGAGTCACCTCCATATTAAGCACTATACTATAATATGCCCTTTAAAAAAAAAAAAAAAGTGGATTCTTTAAATCCACCTTCTTGATCTATATGAAATAAATGATTTTTTTCTCATCATCCCCAAAAAAGCCACTCTGAGCTCCTTTTATCTATTGCACAACTAAGCCAGTGGGACCTGCAATAGGCCTTCGCAAGTGGAGGCCCTACACGGTCCCCTAAGAGCAACTTATTTGGGATGAAATGGGAGTAACAATATTCTTATCATTTTAGAGGATTTAAGCAAAATCCCATATATTCAATCCCTGGTCTTTCCATGGTGACAACTCAAGTTACCTAAGGAACTGGTGGTAGTGTGCCTCTTTATAAACTACTTCAAGTGGAAAGTTAGAATTTTAATACCCTTTTCACCTCACCAATTTTCATCTCCAAATACACAGCCAACTATAATTTCATGAGTGCCACATTGCAGTGCTGGGGCAGACATGGAGATAAACTGCCAAGATGCCCCATCCAGCAAACGCTCTGACCAGTTGCAAGGAGTGTGATTAACCAACAACCTCCAGCTGTTAGCTATGTCAGGGTTTCCTTAAGTTTTCAACCTGAGATGTTTGTTATTTTCAGCGTGGCATCTGGTCATTGAGTGGTGTGTACAGGTTGAATCACTTTTGCCTAGCACTGACCCTTTTAGGGGCAATCTTTGCTTCAGAATGCCCTGCTAAACTGGCAGAGCCTTTGTTAGCTCTGCAGTGTGTTGTAATGAATCTCCCTGCTCGGTCCTTTTTCCTTTCACAGATGTTAACTCCCCAATAAATCTCTTGCACTCATAACTTCATATCTGCATTTTCTTCCTGGAGAACCCAAACTAGACAAGTGGCAAAATGTAAAGTGATAGAACATTGTCAATATCAAAATTGCGTGAAATGACTACAAAGGTCCTTTCACATAATTGATGTTTCACCTCCAGAATAACCCCTGGTACCCCCCATCATTACCATTTTCTCATGTGAACATAACGTCTTCCCACTAAGAATAACTTTTTTTCTAAAAGATTTTATTTATTTGACAGAGAGAGATCACAATAGGCAGAGAGGCAGGCAGAGAGAAAGGGGGGGGGGGGTGGGGAGCAGGCTCCCTGCTGAGCAGAGAGCCCAATGCAGGACTCAATTCCAGGACCCTGAGATCATGACCTGAGCTGAAGGCAGAGGTTTAACGCACTGAGCCACCAAGGCGCCCCAAAAATAACTTTGATGCTTTCTGTAGAGTGATGCTTTCGAGTCACAGGAACCCCTTTTCCTGGGAGATACTTTCTCACTGGAATCCCTCCTATCTTCCCAGAAGCAGAGTCATTCCCGCCATAGGTAAACTGATTTCTTACACCCTCCATAGTCTCCTCTCGGTTCAAACGGGGTATGATAAACTGCATATACATGTGCCAAGATTGTTTGTTGATATTCCCACCAATTAAAGAGCAGTGGACAGACATGCTATTGCCTGCAGATGGCTTTCCACACAGGCCTAAATCACAGGTAGGCAAATGTTCCAAATTTTCCTTCCTTCTTCAGTGATTTTTAGTGTTTTATCACTTCCCCTACAACACAGAACAGACAGCATAGAACATGCAACATAGAACTACTCCTCAAGTAGTTGCTAATGGTAAGTGTGACCATAGGTCCTAATAGTTAATTGTATTTGGAATATAAATGATTTTGCATAATTACCTAGAGAATGTTTGAAAGAGATAAAATTGCATTCTGTGAAGATTTCTATCTCTACATAATAAAAATTCACTAGCCATTGTTTTCTGTACACTAAATTCTAAACTAGGTTTTAGAAAATACAAGAAATTATTGCCACTTTGGTAAATGAAAATAAGCATAATTACTACCCCAACGTTTCATCTCTGTTACCATGTATATGGATCTTTTAAGCAGTTTGGAGGCTTGGACCTCAATTTAGTTTCACATAGTTTTCCTTATTTAACTGTTTCTGAAATTCCTGTCATCTGTTCAGCTCTGTAATTTTAGAGAGAATATCTAAGTGAGCAATTTGACAATCAGGTATCTACTTCCTTTTCCTCTATTTATTCTCATACACTATGTTGGAAGAACCTAAAATACAGCTAATGTTTTTTTATCATTCAGGGTTCAACCTAAGAAAAAGAACCAGTAGACATACATATTAAGAGATTCATTGCAAGGAATTGGCTTACACTATTGCGAGGTCTAGCTAAGCCTCCAAAATCCATAGTACAGGCCACTGGAACTCTAGAATTCTAGAAGCTGCTGTCTACAGACAGAATTTCTTCTTCCTCAGAGAAGCCTCAGTTCTGCTCTCGACCTTTCAACAGATTAAATCAAGTCCACCCAGATTATACAAAATAATCTCCTTCACTTAAAGTCAACAATTTTGGACTTTGATCATCATATCTGGAAGCTACTCTCACAGCAACGCCTAGATTAGTGTTTGAGTGAGTAATTAGAGTATAGCCTAACCAAGTTGACACAGAAAACTGACTATCGCATGTTTATTTAAATACTACAAGCTGAAATAGTCTCTATACAATAAAGGATAAAGAGAGAGAGAGAGAGAGAGCAAAGGGAGAAAGAAAAGTACCAGAGACTAAGCTTAGAGATTAAAATAAATTTCCATAGTAAGTATTTCCTATCAGCCTTATATTATATATGTACTATTATATATGGAGGCATCACCAGGTAGCAATTAGAAAAGATCTGAATTCTGAGAAGCTGTCCTAACACTATTTTTATTTAGCATTTTCATTGTTTGTTTAGTCATGAGCAACAAATGTAAGCAAATCCGCAGCCATTTTGCCTTAGGGATTACTTATTTTAAATTGGGCTAAATCATAAGTTATTAATACGCTCTTTGCTTTACCTTGCATACAGAAGGCTGTTCTTTGACCATATTAAAGCAGGACTTTATGTGCTTTTTTGTCTCCTGTTTTCTCTGCAAGCCTGATAATCACTTTCATCACAGAAGAGCAGGGCTGGCACTGAGCATCTTGCCTATTATGACACGTTTCTCTTGACTGACTAATGCAAGATCATTGTGTAAGAAGACAAATACTATTTGTGTTTATATGTGGGTGTAGGTGTGTGCAGAAAATACTAGGAGAGAAAAATGTCTTCTATATATCAAGGTATTCTTAACATGTTAAACACTCTTCCATAACAAGAACCAGGCCTCATTTGTTAAATCATCTGAAGTCAGAATGCTCTTCATAGTTAACAACACAGTACGACAATAAGGTTTCCGTATGATAAAGTTGCCTGGCTTCAGTAGTGAGCATAAAGGGCATTCAATATCTGAAGGGACAAAATGATGACAGTATTTAGATGGAGTGACTCACAAGATGTTGCCTTTCCAGAACTAAGAAGAAATTCGTACCCATTTCCTGGTCTTAAGATTCAAATAGGGAGAGAAAAGTGAGTGGACTGACAGAGCCAAAGTAAGCCAAGATAATGAAAAAAGGAAGTTCCTCTTATATCTGCTAGATATGATAAAAA